TCCAGCAGAAAAGATATCCATTGCCATTTTAAATTGTTAAGAAATCTGTGTTTTTGAAAGTAATGAAGAAAGCAGAAGTCAGAGATTTATTTAAATGATTTAGCCTGACATGTTTACTGTTCCAAAATATTTTAAATGTTTCTTAAATTACAATATATTGGCTGCTTCCAAAAATGCCTACTACATCAGTAGGTACTGCATTTGAATTTACTACTTGACCAATAGAAAAGTACGTTCTATACAGTATGAATGTGAGCAGTATGAATGGATCTTGGACGTCCTACATCTGCCATTTTATCATGATCACGTGGCACACCCACATTACTTCCATTTATGAATTCTCTTGCGGTGCATCAAGGGATATCTTAGCGTCCATCTGATCCGCGCTTTAGAATCTTGCCGGAAGTAGTAAGGCATCCGGGCACTTCTCACATACTGTTTTTCAAAGACTATGAATTCAGACATGCTACCCAGCTCGCATGGAAGTATGCAATTTCGGTCGCAGCCATTGTGTTCGAAGCAGAAAAAAGTTGTTTTTTACCCAGATATTTAAAAAAAGAATATATTTTAGAGCAGTCATCACAATACTGTAAATGTGATATTTTTAAGGGTACTGTACACTGTCTGAATTAAAGGTACGTGAACTGTCACTGGGGTGGTACCGTACTGGCACTGGGGTGGTGCCTTTTCAAAAGGTACACATTTGTATTTAAAGCGTCCTACTTTTTAGGTAGTAATATGTACCCTTCAGGTAATAATATGGACATAATTCAAAAGGTACCAGGTTTACAACACTTTTGTGTTCAACGGTGAAAAGGAATCACAGAAAGGTTTGAAACCACTTTAGGTGAGTATATTTCCATTTTTCGGTCAACTATCACTTTAAAGCAGGGATTACCAAACTCGGTCCTGTTGGGTCGGTGTCCTGCAGAGTTTAGTTCCAACTCCAAGTAGACACACCTGAACTAGCTATAATTGAGGGCTGTTTCTCAATTTCAAGAACAAAGAGAATGAACTTGAATTTTTGTGAAGGCCGGTATTGGCAGTTCACCTCAGAAGATTGAACTCGAGCTACCACGAGAACACTGAACGCGTCCTGTGAGAAATGAGATGCTGCGTTCATCCTGTTGGTCACGTGACCTTTTAAAATTATTTAAACATTAAAGCAATCATACAATAAGTTTTTGTTTTTTCCCTTTTTCAGTTTACAAATATACTTTGCACAATACAAATAAAATGAATTTCAGCAAGTAAACACCCTTAATGTGTTTTTGCATCTATTAAGATTTTCATGGTAATGTTTTATTTCACCATCTCATTTAGGAAACTTCTGAGATAAATAAGTTATATCTCTGAACTGTAATAATAAGTTTATATAATATGCTGTGCTTCCCACCTCCTTTATTCAGCCGCAATAACTTCTAGGACTTCTAGAGACTTCTTATTTTAAGAATTATTATCCGGGAAAATTACTTTCAACCAGCCAAAGTGGCTAGTGGAAGTGTCTATCTTACCTGCCACTGCTGAAATCAACCCGCATTTGGCAGGTTGGTCTGGTGTTAATGTTAAGCCTGGATCTCGATGACAATTTCCTATAGCTAAGTTTCTCTAACCACATGGTGCAAAACCCTCTTTGAAAATTAAAATGAAAAACAGCAAGTGTGACTGTACAATCTTACAAAGTATTTGTCCATTGCAGACATGGGAAGGTGTGAAATCACTCGTGGTCGGCAGGCTCTGGAGCTCCGTAGTAATCTATCAGAGCGGCGTGCTTTGACAGACAAAATTCAGGCTCCAGCATGCCAAATCGCAGCATCAACACGGAATTTACAGTGGGCCATTGCACATGGTATGACCTGTTTATAATAAAAAAACATTTGGTTTATGTACTTCAGAAAACTTAAATGGCTTTAATGAAATCAAACGAAAAATGTATTTTGTGTAAATCCTACCAGTCCTCCCAGAGAGCCGCTGTCTTCAGTTTGAATGTGGTGTCACGGTGCAGCTCGGTTTTGCTGCAGAGTTTTCCAATATCATGATAATCTACACTCAGATATTGGAGACTCCAACAGACATTGTGTCCTGCTCTGCTCAGCTTTCTGATTTTACTGAGGTGAATTTTATTCTTGTAGATCTGCAAAAAAGGTATTGATTTAATCCATGAAAATATAACATGAATATGTATCAATGATTGGTTTTAAAGGAAACTTGTTCCCTTGCAATGTCAAACATGCAGATATTATTTTGGATTAAGTTTTGACAATATTTTTAAGGGCCCTGAAGTTGACCTGAAGCGCAGCAATCAGGAGAGTCTCCACGAGGCTGAAAGCTTCCTGCTGACCATAGATGATCTACTGCCTCTGAAACAACCTCAGCTCTTCACTCGTATTAGTGCCCTGCAGAGACTCAAGGTATAGTGACTCTTGTTTGTATATGCACAGTATATACAGTTGAAGTTAGAATTATTAGCCTCCCTCTTTATTTTTTTCACAATTTCTATTTAATGGAGGGAAGAATTTTTTAACCTAATAGTTTTAATGACTCATTTCTAATAACTGATTTATTTTATCTTTGCCATGATGACAGTAAATAATATTTGACTAGATATTTTTCAAGACACTTCTATACAGCTTAAAGTGACATTTAAAGGCGTAACTAGGTTAATTAGGTTAACTAGGCAGGATAGGGTAGTTAGGCAAGTTATTGTATAATGATGGTTTGTTCTGCAGACTATCAAATAAAAAATAGCTTAAAGTGGCTAATAATTTTTTATTTATTTATTAAAAACTGCTTTTACTCTAGCCAGAATAAAACAAATAAGACTTTCTCCAGAAGAAAAAATATTATCAGACATACTGTGAAAATTTCCTTGCTCTGTTAAACATCATTTTGGAAATATTTAAAAAAGAAAACAAAATTCAAAGAGGGGCTAATAATTCTGACTTCAACTGTATACTATGCATATGTATGTGTTATTTATCATATATTACTTGATTTTCCCATGCAGAAAGAACTCTCCTTTACTGTGTGTCTACACTACAAGTATGGTAATCTGGATGAAGAGCTCCTGGAAGAGAAAAGGATCACTGTGGGAAAACCTCTAGTGTCCAAACTCAATCTCCACGAGCCACGGCTCTTTCACAGTTCCTCCTCTGATCAACAAATGTCCAGTTTTTTGGACTCTTCATCCTTCAGCGAAAGCTTCAGAGCTAACCTGCCTGACCTAAAACAAAATTTCATTGGTTCTGCATCTACATCCTTGCCCAACTATCGGGTACCAATGGAATCATTTGCATGCTTTGGTTTGAAGAACGAACCGGAGGAAACATTATGTCCAGAGTTTCTTGAGTCTGAAGAACCTCCCGCCATTAAGAGTTTACCCAGTGCTTCTTCTGAGGAACTGCCATTTAAATTTAGCAACTTTCAAAATTCCATTTAGCAGTAAAGTGTTACCCGAGATCTATTACAAACTGTGAATGTGTTGCAGTATCATTTTGTTGTATTCCCGCACCTTCCTTATGTTACACAGACATGATGAGAATGTAATGTGTATGTGCTGTTAATATTTACATTATGGTATTATTGAAAAGTCAACCAACCAGTGCATTAAATTATATAGTTATATATTTGTTTTTTAAGTACACAATAGCTTTTTTTCTTCTGTTGTAACAGCTAATGTATCACAAAAATAACTTATGCAACATTTCTAGGAATAAAATAAAATACAAGAACAAAATGCAATGTTTAGGAATAAGTATAAGAAATGTATTTAAAAGAAAATATAAAATATACTGGCAGATGATTCACAAATCCTGACAAATTATCTTTAGTGTGCTTTATTTAAATATCCCCAAAAAATCTTATTAATTTTTTTTTATAAATGCCAAGGTTAAATAACTTGTAATTCCCTCTTTAAAACAAAGGTGCCAGGAATAAAAAATTTTGGCACTTCAGATAAACTTTTTAGGTTCCTTTGAGCCCTATCATGCAGAGCACTTCAGTAATGTAAAGAACTTGGCTGAGAAGGTTGCAAGAATGTAAAACGTTCTTAGTGAAATGACTTATTCCAGTAAGGAACCTTTATTTAAAAGGCAAAATATTATATTGAGCTCCCACTATAAGACATGTTTATGGCATGGGTGACCGTAATCCACCCGTTAACCTTGCACAAAAATCTATAACTTCAACAATTATGTTATTTTTAACAATTCTTGGCCAAAAATGGCACAACTATTTTTTTAGTACCTCAAATAACATTTTTAGGTTCCTTTTAAGGTCTGTCATGCAGAACACTTTAGTAATGTAAAGAACTTAGATGAAAAGGTTGCGAGGATGTAAAAGTTTCTTAGTGAAATTACTTATTCCAGTAAGGAACTATTGAGCTCCCACTAACACACAGGTGTCAAACTCAGTTCCGAAAGGGCCGCAGCTCTGCACAGTTAGTTCCAACCCTAATTAAATACAGTAATTGAGTCCTTCAGGCTTGTTTGAAACCTACTGGTAAGTGTGTTGGAGCAGGGTTGGAACTAAACTGTGCAGGGCTTCGGCCCTCCAGGAATTGAGTTTGACACCCCTGCACTAACACATATGCTTATGGCAGGAGTGACCGAAATCCATCCATTCACCAATCCTGCACATTAATCTCAAACTTTAAATCACGAAATATGTTATTTTTAAGAATTTTCGACCTGAAACATTAAAACTAACCTTTCATTTTACATCTCCCACAACATTTATTCATTCGTTTTCTTTTCGGTTTAGTTCCTTTATTAATCTGGGGTCGCCACAGCGGAGTGAACCGCAAACTTATCCAGCATGCAATAGGTTTTAGGCAGCGGATGCCCTTGCAGCTGCAACCCAGAAACATCTCCCACATTATCTGTAAATCTTTCGACGTCTTTTTTTGTAAATTCTTCGACGTTCCCGCCCAACCACGACTATGATGACGCTTTTGCGCATGCGCTTAACATCCAATGGCAGACGCATGCGCGTGACTGCTGGTCGACGCCATTTTGTTTCAAGTGAGAAACGCTGTTCATCACGCTCTGTGCACAAAAATCTGGTGAGTGTGTGCGGATAGAAGGAGATTTGTGATAATTCTTTCACCGTTGCAGTCTCACTGGCTGAAAACATGTCAGACACTTCGACGGGAGATGTGGGGTCTGTAGAGCCTGGCGTTCGTAAAATATCCGAGCTGAGAGTCATCGATTTGAAGGCCGAGCTGAAGCGCCGAAACCTCGACATCAGCGGCAATAAAAGCCTGCTTTCAGAGAGACTTAAAAAGGTAACAGAACCACGGAATCATATGTTATCCTAATAATCTCGCACCTTTATATACTTCAGAGTGAATGAGATTTGAGTTAACGTTGTGGGGTCAGTGTTTACTGCAGTAGCGTTACATGTGTTGCCATTTCCCTGTTTTTTATATCTCCTCTTTACTAATACAATAGTTTGTTTTGTTAACGTATTGTATATGTTAACGTACACTCTTTTTTGCTAATCACAGCTGTTTACATTAGTCGTTTTAGAAACCCCACCTAGCTTTGCAGAATATTTTGATTTCAAGATGTCTTACGTAATGTACATTGAATGAAGTGTGGGGTTTCATTGCACAACAATAAAGGGGTTGTTATGCAGAAACTATAGATAAGTATCAATAATGCTTGTGTTTGACTACATCACACTTTCGTTTTCAGGCAATTGAAGAAGAGGGGGGAAATCCAGATGAGATTGTTGTACATCTTGACATAACTCCTAAGAAAACACCACGTCGAACTCCAAAAGGTAAAATTGATCCGTACTGTTTTATTAAGATCAGAAAACGGAAGGATAAAAGGGATAACGTTACAGCAATACCTCTTTTATCAGTACTTTAATTTTTTGTGTTTGCAGATATATTGTATTCACATTTTAGTTTGTGGTTTTAAAACTGTTTGCTAGAAAAAAAATATAAGAATGTTTAGTTTGTCTAATGAGTAATATATTTACAGACGTCCTTAGTCACACATCTCCATTTTGTAATCTGTTTATTCCATGTCTGTTTCTTTTCTGTTTGTGCATGATGTGTACAAGTGCATTTTAGTACCAGTGCATAAGCATGGTATTGTGCTCTTTGCTGAACAGGCTAAGCCTCTGTCTTTGCATAATGTTACAACAAGCGCATTTGAAGAGTTTAGATGCAAAAACCTCTTAAAGCCATTTGATATTTTCTTCTAAAATGAGCATTTTTCTCTGACTCCTTTGTGTAGGCTCAGTTATTTTACTTTTATAGTGACATATACGTCATTTACATTGCCTTTAAAGTGAAACAACTGAACATAAACATAGGAGGCTGACAAAAATGGTCATTTCAGATGACAGGTAGAGTTTTTTTTGCATTCGAACTCTTCATTTAGACTTAAAGTCCATTCTGCATTGACCAATTCTCTCATTAAAAAAAAAAAAAACTAGACTAAATTTTGATGAGTAATCATGGGCTGGTATAAAATTTTGCCTGTATGATAACCTTGGATAAAAAATACAGTTTTATAGTATTGTGATTACTGCTCTAAATATATTCTTTTAAAATGTCCGGGTTAAAAACAAAACTTTTTTTGCGCTTTGAACACAATATATTTCATTTTGCAAAACTTTTAAAATATTTTATCCCAGTAAACATGTCAGGCTAAATGAATCATTGCCTTCTGCTGCCTTAAAAACAACGACACCATTTGAAACATTTTCTGCTGGAGATACTGTTGTTCTAAAAAAATTAACAAAACATTATAAAAACCTAAATTGTACAAACAGTGTAACAGAGAGAAATTTTGGCGGCTTTAAGACCTTGACTTTTCCAAAACATAGTACACCTTGAAAACGCTTATCGACCCATGCCTACTAAGGAGCATGTTGTAATTTCACAGAATGGGTCCAAAGTTTACTTCATTCAGGAAAGTTAAGTTCAAGTTCTTTTTCTCTCTGATGGGGAAGTGTTATATCCAATAGGAGCATAAGTGCATGTTTACTAAGGGCAAAAAACTAAATTATGTGGTTTGAAATAATTTTTATTTGTTTCTTTCTATAGGAAAGAGACAAGATGACCATGATGGACCTGAAGACTCCACACTTGAGGAGGACTCTGTTGATGGCCAGGTGTTTTTTTTTTTTTTTTTTGTTATTAATTTGATGCTGGATTTACATAATGACTTTTTATATATATATATATATATATATATATATATATATATATATTATTTGTTCGCATTAGGGATGTAATTGATCACGATTGATCTGTAATTCGTACAGATCACAACCCATGGTTCTGGAACACGTGGCCTGCAGATTAATACATTTTATTTACTGGTAGATTATTCTTAAATTTGTAACGATCACAGAAAGATCACTTTTCGCGTCTTTCAAATCACATGTATGAAAGCATTTAGGCTTTCCTGTAAAATATAATGATGATGGAAGAAGTTGTGGTAGGTTATTTGGGATGTGGTGTTTTTTGTCACTACTTGTTTAGCCTGTATCAGTGCATTCAGTGTAAGCTGCAAAATTAATCAAAAGATCGGGATCTTAACATGATGTTTTATGAGTGATTAATAAATCATTGAAAATGTGACTAAAATAAATATGGGTTGTACAAATTATAATTAAATGATTTCAACATTTAGTGTTATCAGCAACTGTAGTAGTAATAGTGAATTTTTTTACTTTACTGAATATTTTAGTTTTTTTTTTTTAATAATCTCATTATTTTATTTTTATAAAATTACAGGTTGTAAGTTTTGTTTGATAAAACCAAAAGTGTCTTGCAGTACTGTTTTTGTAATAATTGAAAAGCAAATTACATTTGTCATTTCCCCTTTTGGGCTGATCCGAAAAATGGTCCGATCCGTGACTAAAAAACCATGATGTGATCCAGACCGTGAGATTTGTGATCCATTACACCACTAGTTTGCATAATTTTAATCAATACTAACAGCATTCATCATCTGCTTCAGGAGGACCCAGATGCTGTGCCAGAGAACCTTCATGAGATGGATATCATGGACATGAATGTTCTGGATGAAGCCGATATGGGTAATGGAGGTGACCCTGATGAAGATGAATATGATGAGGAGGTTTTAGACACGTATTCGAATGAAGAGAACACAGGCGGCTTGAAGGAGGATGCCTCAAATAACTGCGACACGGAGGATGGTGTAGATATTGTCATGAGCAAACCTGAAGTGGAGGAGGTGAGGTGTTACAATTAGCTAATAAATATACTGCTTTTCTGTTCTTATTGCTTTGCTTTTTGTCTTACGTTTTACCTTAATTTCAGGCAGTGGAGAAAGATGATGCAGACATGGATGAGAACCAGGAAATGGCTTGTCAGGTAATAAAGGAAGTTTAAAAAATTCAAACAAAGATTTGTTTTATTTCACTTCTAATTAATTTCTTCACTTCACACAGGAGGATGTTGGTGAGCATGGAAACAAGGAAGCAAAAAGTGAAGAAGGTACTGTATAGGGTTTTGAAATGATCTTAAAGTCAAGGTGAAACCTTAAGGATCTATAGCCTAAATGTATCAGGTTACTCAGGAACAAGAGACTGGAAATCCAGAGTTGGTTACTGGCTTTCTGCATTGCTGACAATAGATATGTGGCCATTTATATCACTTTTAAATTGCGTAACAGGCACCCACATGCCTCTTCAAAGAGCTCATATATGCAAAGAGCCAGTAATGTTTCAGTCAGTACATAGGTTGGTTAAAATAGTTGTTGCAGTTGCAATTTGGTGTTTCCAGGTTGCTTAAAGAAGGCATCGAAAAGAAGACTTGAAGAATTGGATCATGCAGAAGCAAAATCACTGTGTAGGACACAAAGTTTGTTAATTGGAGATTTCACTAATGGACCATTTGCTTGTTTCAAAAGAAACACATTTCCTGTAACAACAGCACAAGCTGCTACTTCTAAATCATGGACACTTCAAGTACTGAAATCTGCGATGGACACTCTGATGTGGTGCAGATCTTGTGGCTTTCCCTAGTCAACAGAGCACCCTTCTTTGGGGTGCAGGTGAAGTGAAAAAGAAATGGCTTGTTGTCTGGAAGCTTGTTGTTTGTTTTTTCGCTTTGGTTTTTCCAGTCTCTTTATAGGGTAGCTTGCCTTATCTTGTGTATGAGAAAGCAGAGGGCCACGTCCTAGTCCAGTTCCACGATAACCATTGCAATGTCTCAGAAGTGATTTAAACTCTGTGCCATTCTATTCCTGTTAAATCCGTAGAAAGTGAGAAAGTAGCCGGGTCTTGTATATCAGAGCCGCTTAAGGATGACTCCACTGAAGAGCTGACTGAAGAAGAGAAATCTTCAGTCTGGGATTCACACCAAGAGGCAGACAATGGGCACGACCTTGCCAACACCGACGAGGCTGCCAATTTGGATCCGGAGTCATCAACCTGCAAACTGGACATTGTTGCATCAAAGGAAAGTGAAGTTGAATTGACAAACAAAGACCAAGAAAACATTCAGGACAGTTTGGTGGATGCCGAGAACACTTCTGCTCAGGCCGATAATGCTAGCGAAACAGGTTTGCGCGATATCGAAAGCGCAGTTGATTCGGAAATGGCATCTAAAGGAGAAGCGGTCGAGGAATGCAAGAGCACTGATCCTGCGGAGTCCTCAGAAGTGAAAGAGTCCTCTGTACAGGGTGATGATCAGAAAAAGAGGTTTGTTATTTTCTGTCTACTAGAACAATGGCTTTCTCTGTTTCATTGGCTCCTTTGTTAACAAGTATGGGTGCTCTTGGGAGGTGTAATCGACTGCGCATTTCGTCTACCATTTTTTTTTGCCATTTTGTTTTTCTACCTACAAACAATAATGTACCAGAATTTTGGTTTGCCATCTTAGTTGAAGGTATGTTTAATGTAATTGGCTTAATGTGATGTAGTATCAAATCTTTGTTCATTGCCAGAACTTGTATGTCTTCACTAGGTGGGTATTCGTTTATCAACACTGGTGATACGGTTCAAACTGCCCATTCGATTTCTCATAAACCTGCTTTCTTTTTCTATAGTGAAGAGGAGGATGCCTCAACCAAGCCGGAGTCGAAAGATGACAAAGGTATGTGTGCAATAAACTACTGACCATAAAGTAAGTGCGAGGAGTTTAGACTTTTGTATGTTAACTTTTTGTGTCCTATCAGGTGGCGCCTCTAGTGGGAGGAACCTCTGGGTCAGCGGACTCTCGTCAACCACCAGAGCGACTGATCTGAAGAATCTTTTCAGCAAGTATGGCAAGGTAAGTGTGATGTAGAAACCTGGTCATTTTTTTAGGTTTGATGGTGTCCTCATACTTGTGTTACTACTTGCAGGTTGTTGGTGCAAAAGTAGTAACAAATGCCCGAAGCCCAGGCGCTCGCTGCTATGGGTTTGTTACAATGTGCTCTATTGAGGAGGCCACAAAGTGCATTAGCCATCTGCACAGAACCGAACTCCATGGAAGGATGATTTCAGTTGAAAGGGTACATAATTTTTTTTTTTTTATGAAGGGCAGTTATTTTTAAACTGTCTGACTGCAAAAAGCACCAATGCAGAACTGAATCTGATGGTTTTTTTTTTTTTTTTTTTTTAAGAGGAATTGATTGGTGTGTCTCTGTTTATAGGCCAAGAATGAGCCTGCTGGAAAGAAGCCTGCTGACAAAAATGATGCCAAAAAGTCTGTCAGTGATAGAAGACTCTCCTCTGACTCGAAGACTGACAAGTAAGTAATAGATCAATGTTATTTCGAAGACATCTGTCAAGGCCAAGATGCTGTAATGCTCTAATAATGTTTATTATTGCAGATCTGAGAACAAGGATGAAAAGACTGAAGGTGATGGAAAAGGTAATGAGTGTGGCTAGCATTCACATTTGGCAATACTTAAGTTATGTTAAGGCGTTTATATCTGGTTGTTTTAATGAAGGTGGAGAGAGGACTGTTGTGATGGACAAATCGAAAGGAGAACCAGTCATCAGCTTGAAAACAAAAAGCAAAGAACGGGTATGTTTTGCTACTTATTGTTTTGGCACTGACTGCCTAGCTAGTATTTTTGAAATGACCGCTTTTATTTTATATTTCAGAGCTCTAAGAGTCGTGACCGTAATTCGTTGAGTAAAGAAAGAAAGGACATTTTGTCATTTGATCAAATCAAAGAGCAAAGAGAGCGGGAGCGTCAAAGGCAAAGGGAACGAGAGATTAGAGAAGTTGAGAGACGCAGAAACTCTGGGTAACTACAATCACCTTGTCTTGAGTTTGCTTTCCCATCTTCTTCTGATTTCTCAACTTGTTGAATTAAATTTCAGTGAGCGAGACCGTGACAGAGACAGACGTTCTGAGCGTGAGCGCATTCGACTTTTCCGAGAGAAGGAGGAGAGGCTGATGAGGAAGCGCAAGATGCTGGAGGTCGAGAAGCAGCGTCTGGATGCTGACCGCATGGAGCGGGAATTCCTAGAGCGGGAGCGTCTCCGAGTAGAGTATGAGCGGCGGCGCGAACAGGAGCGCATTCATCGTGAGAGGGAGGAGCTGAGGCGGCAACAGGAGCAGCTACGCTTTGAACAGGACAGACGTCCAGTCAAGAGGCCTTATGACATGGATGGAAGGTAAGAATACTGTAGGCTCTGCGGCGTAGTTGATGTGTGATGAGGCTTTCCAAACTTGCCATTCTCTGCGTTGAAAGTTAATAAGATGGGAAAAGGAAGTTATAGACGTCTTTAAAAGTGAAATGCATATTGGAAACTTTCTCACGCTATTTATGGGTACATTAAATTAAAGAAGAAACCTGGTATTCTTATTTGTAAAAAAAAAAATCATTATAGCAGTCAATTATTTTAGTGCAAAATAAACTACAGAAGACTGCATGACACTCATGACCACTTGATTATGTAGTTGATTGTGCATATTCTCTTTTGTGGGGTGATGATGCGGTTTTACTGTAGGAAACTTTACAGTTTGTTCCTCTTGGAAATTCTGGTGACTAGGATTGTCTAGTGCAGGGGTCACAAATCTCGTTCCTGGAGGTCCCGTACCCTGCAGCCTGCAGGGTTTAGCTTCATCTTGCCTCAACACACCTGCCTGGGTGTTTAAAAATATACCTAGTAAGACCTTGATTAGCTTGTTTAGGTTTGTTTGATTAGGGTTGGAGCTAAAATCTGCAGGACACCGGCCCTCCAGGAACAAGTTTGGTGATCCCTGGTCTAGTGTTAATTGATCACTTTTTCTATCTACTTTTTTGACTATACAGAAAAGACGACTGGCCATTGAAGAGGATGAACATGGATGATCGCTATGGACGATCTGATTTTGGACGCCAAGACCGGTATCAAGATTTTGACCACAGAGACCGCAACCGCTATCAGGATGACATGATGATGGATAGGTAATGCAAAGCTATGTCTATCCCAACCATCTGGAAATTCGTTTATAGATCTTGCTGTTTTACTGTAATGATTTACATCTGTTTGCAAACAGAAGAGACAACCGAGGTGGCATGCCTGGAGACAGAGACAACCAGGTATGACAAGTCCGTCAAAGATAATTGTTTGATCTGGTTCTTTAGATATTGAACTGCACACCAACATTTAAATTTTTATTCCGCAGCACTTTTCAGATCGGGACAGACATGGTCGTGACAACTGGGGTGGTGGCAGCTATGACAAACGTGGAATAAATCCTGCAAGGCCAGGGCCAGGCGGGTAAGACATTTAGACTTATCTGGTCAGGTGTTTCTTTATTAATTAAACGTTTGCGACTATAATTTTTTTTCTTTTCTGTCTGAAGTCGTGGGGACAGAGATTGGGAGCCTGGACGCAAAATGGATGGGGACAGAAACTGGCAAGGTTTGTCCTATTAAATATCTTCAGATGATCACATCCAATGTCATTGTCCATTCTAACTTTTTATGTTTCTTTTTTAGGAGGAGAGCGAGGTGTCCCGGGACAGGGTCACATGGCTCGAGGAGGAATGGCGGGGTACTATGTCTATTTTTTTGTAATGTAGTGACTAGGGTTAGGCGATATCGACCAATTTGGCATTGAACGATGTCTAATGTGAACCACCTTTTTCCGCGGGACTCTGGCATGAGTAGGCAGAGTGATCTGTGTCGTTATAATGGCATCAACAAACTTGGTTGGTTAAAAAAAGGTGCACTCGTTCTTGAAAAATCCAATAAAATATAATTATTAAAAAAGGTGCACAACCAACAGTATCTGAGGTTTTCCCTAAAATTACTAAATACAAGCAAGAAAGCAAAAGATTAAAGCAGTGTACTGACGTTGTGATGCGTTACGTGATAGATTCAAAAGACAGAAGAGTCGTTAAATAGAGACAAGATTAATTAAAGATGAATTGGATCACGATGCTGGCTTAGCATTGTGATGTCCATCGGCAATGATCGATGGCATCGTCTTGGCCCAACCCTAGTAGTGACTTAAATTTGATATGGGAAAGATTTTTGATTATTTAAGCTTGAAACTAACATTTGTGTGCTCCACAGCCGAGGTGGATACATGCAGGCAGGGGCATCCCAGTCGATTTCTGGACCCATAAACCGACCCAATCAGATGATGCAGGGTAGTGGAATGCAAGGTGGTGGTGGTGCTGGTGCCGGTGGAGGAGCCTTTGGTCGACGATATTGAGAAACTCCATCGTTTATGTACCTGTTGTGTGGAAAGAATCTTTGCAGCTTGTACATTGCTAGTCGAGCTTTGTATTTTTTTAAGTCCACTTTTCGTTTCAAGGTGTAAAGAACGGGAGATTGTTTAAATTATGTAAAGTGTGATTTTTATTTCGATATGCTTTTTGTTCCTGCATTCCACATTTAGATTTTAGTCTTACTGTTTGTACATTTGGTGAATGCTCAGGAATGTTTTGCTAAAATGCAAGCCGTCTTTGAAACCATAATTAATTTGGCGTTCAATTGTCCCTGATCATTCAATAAAATTGTTTTCTTTAAAAAATGGTGCGCTCAAGTTTAATGCTTTGTGTATTAGCAGTTTACTTTCACTAGGTGGCGCCGATAGTCAAGTTTAGTCACCTTAATTTTTGTAAGGATTTCATGTACTGCAGAAGTTCGTCAAAGCAGCTTTAGGAGACTCTGTGCTACATTGGCGGAATTGAATTCTGGTAGAGTTGTGACAAAACAAGGGTGCTGTTATTGCTATTCATATTAATGATTTTGTGAGGCATGCTATACCAAGCACAATATACGGCATCGCTTTTAGACCATTTCAATGTGGTTGTCCATCTACATTTCCTGCCTATCAAACCATTTGATAATTGTAGCAAGAGGCAACGTTTCAATGTTAAATGTTTCAATGTTAAAACCGCTTGCGTAACATTTATCAATTTGTGGCTATTTTCTGAATTCCTGGAAGATATAGTGTAAAACAGGGAATGCGTTGAGTCCATTGTTTTGAGTCCCCAAAATGGTCTGTAGCATGTCCACTAGCCAATTGCTCAATCTTGCTTTTTTTTTTTCTTGACAAACTATTATAAATAGATTAACTTTTTACATTATTTTAAATGTCAAGTGATGATCAGAATGTCAGATCTTGTGCAAGCCTAATTGCTTGTGTATTAGATCACTAATACATCTAATAATAACAATGAAATTCCCGTGGTGCACAAAATTCTCATGGTCATGAGTGGGAACGTTTCCTGAACGTTTATTTTAGTGTACATCCTCAACCTTTGTAGTTCCTCATATTGCAGATGTTCCTCAGGATTTGGGGGTTGACATTGTCCAAACTTCTGTTTTCAAGTTATTCATTATCACACACACAAAAACTGATCTTGGAGAGAAGATTGTGGATTGTTAGCTGGAAATTAGCCATGAGATGTTGTTAAACAACTGCAGTGCTACTTTTGGTAGAGGTTCATCACAATAAAGGTAATCTAAAATGACTAATTAGCAATGAAGATTTCAAAACTAGAGAACCTTTTGACTCCAGTGAAAGTTAGAGGAACACCTTTTTTTTATGTAAATAGCCTCATTTTATAGCAAATACAGTAAATGGCTTCTTTTTACAAAGTTAAACATTTGAGTTTTACCATTTTTAAATGTATTTAGCTGATCTGTGAGTCTGGTTGGAGCACTTTAGCTTAGCATAAATATCTTGGATTAGACAGTATCTCACTCGGATGTGTTAAGATATTTCCTATTTGAATTATTGTAGTTACATTGTGTATTAAGACTGTAAAGATGTAAAGTTGCTATTTTCTAGCCTAATATGTCTATGAAATCTGCCAGCAGGACAAAAGATTATGTAGTGACTGAACATTGTCCACAGGTAACTAGTAGTGCTGTGTAATATTGTGCCATGCTATGGCAGCAAAGTTCCTTGAATTTTATGCTTGAATGGAGCATAGTTCTTAGTCACTCTTGATCCCTTGATTTTGACCAAAGGCGTAAATCTGCTTCATATGTCCACTCCAGCACCTAAATGCCCCTGTGTCTTTTTAGGGCACGGTTCAAACTCATTAAACACCCAATCAAAGTAGTTGAGTCCTTCAGGCTTGTTTTAAACCTTCAGGTAAGAGTATTGAACCAAGTTTGGAACTAAACTGTGCGGTGCTGTGGCCCTCCAGGAACTGAGTTTGACACCCCTGGTAAGAATTTAAACCCGTTCAGATGTTTCGCCAGTCATGGACACTTGCTTAATGTAATCTGAGTGAATGAGATGGAGAGAAGTTATCAAGTGAAGGGCATAAAAAAAATGGACTGGAATGCAGCCTTTGTGACTTGTAAGATGAGCCTATTTCTAAAAAAGGGGAGTGTTCCTTTAACAGATGACAATCTGAGAGGTGGGGGTCTGGGGTATGATGTTTCAGCTCAACAGTGTCCTAAAGTAACCTCTGCCTAAAGAAATGTCTTCTGGGGAGGCATCTTAAATGATGTCACTTACTTAGATCAGGTCGTGCACTGATGGCCAATCACATTCAGTCTTGGGACCCTGGGGGTGGAGTCTTGATTCCTAGAAAAGCCTGAAGGCCATACAAATTTCATTATATATCACATTGTTGAAATGTGCCAAGAGATTCTTTTATTTAGATTTATGCTCTCTATAATCCTACCTGAACCATTGTCCAAGAACTGCTGGTTGTCTTCAGTCTTGATGATATTATCCATTGTTTCGAGACTAAAGAAGCTGTTTGAACTGGCAAATGTTCTCCTTTGTAAATATGTCAACATCTGGACCAAGCTCTTTGGAGCAGAACCTGAGAAGAGCTGGAAATTCAATTACTACCCTGCACATACCCATGAGAATTTCTACTCTCTCCTACAGGGAACTATACAATGGGTTTTCTGGATCTTTCCCAGGAGGAAATTCCTTTTTAAAGCCATGAAAGAACAATAAAATGGGGGGACCCTTGTGCTCAGAACATGTCATTGTGTTTCCTATGTTTTCCTGAGCAAAACTCATTTAAGATTCGCATTGTATTTTCAGAAGTGAGTGGAAATTGTGGTCCTCCTTTAAAACACATCAACAAGTCTGTATATGTCTAAGACGTCAAGTTTAGGAATGTGAAACCAGACGCATTTCTCTCTGAATAGGTTTGAAGCACCAAGTAAGCTAGGAAGACATGTTAGCCACACTTTTGAATGCTGCCAGGATTTGTTTGCTGATTTATATTTTATCTAGAGGTCATTTTACAGGTAAGATACCTCTTGTCTTGCAGGTGGCGGGAATGTCTAGGTCAATGAAAGTATATTTCGATTTCAGACTTTTTAAAATTCTCTTTCATTGGGGTTGTTCACCCTTGATAAACTTGTCTAAACTTGTCCAAAGACGTTCTTTCCTACTCAGATATGAGAAATCTTAAGTGTTTAAATGGTAATAAGGGGTCTTACTAAGGTAAACAACACTGATTTTGGTACTTTGATCTGTAACTTGATCTACTCCTTTTGTGCTACAGTTTGTGGAGGAAAGATATGCTATTACATTCATAAGGAAACGATTTTCATTTCACAGATAAACGTGACACGCAGCCTGATTCAAATCTAGAAACCAGATTACTTTATATTTTGCAATAGGCTCATAGCTGTTCCAGCAAATTCACTTTGTTGACCATGACTGCACTTTAAATGTTGATGTCAGAGCTAATGTTTAGCTGCAGGTCCACAAAAGTGACACAAACCCATTTTATTAAGCACCTTCTTTGTTTGGTTGGTTTTAAAAAGTGAACAGAAAACACTCTGCTATACTTGCTCCACCTCCAGGTTCTTTTGATTGGATCTTGGTTTTGGAATTGAAGCTGCTTCACTTTTGTGTTGTCCAATAGTGAAGCCTGGCAGTGCTTATAAAATAAATACTTCTTTTATTTTTCTTGAAGATCGTTTCCATCATTTTGGGAAGTTCACATCAAAATGATGGATGTTAATCCAATAATTTTTCATTTAAAAATTTGCTTTTAGTTAGTAATAGTGTCATAAAAAAGGGTACAGACATGGATTCCTTGCTGGGAAAAAAAAAAGAAAAAAAAAAAGCTGGTTTTAGCTGGTTGAGCAGCCTGGTTTTAGAGGAGTTTTGGCTATTTCCAGGCTGGTCAGGCTGGGAGATTACAAGTTAAAACCAACTTGACCACCCTAGCCAGCCAATCTAGATGTAGCCTTTATGATGAAGCTGAGCAATGCAATGTCAGACACATGTACTTAAATGGAGCGAATGACATTTAGGTAGGGTGAGCCCATTAAAAAGGATTGGATGCAGCTCAGATTGCACTGCACAGGTCTGCATCCAGACCCCTCTCGAGCCTAGCCAAAACCAGCTATGTCCAGTTTAAACCAGGCTGGTCAAGCTGGTTTTAAAGCTGGTTTTGGTTTTAACTGGTAATTTTCCTGCCTGACCAGCTAATATGTCAGATCAATGTTAAATATATGTCTGTGTGTGTGTGTGTGTGTGTGTGTGTGTGTGTGTGTGTGTGTGTGTGTGTGTGTGTGTGTGTGTGAAATAAAGGTTGTTGTATTAGCTTGTATTTAAATAAAATAATTGACAGTTAATACGAACATTTTCCCAAAAAAATAAACAATTTCAACATTGTTTACAAGATTGTTTGTGATTAAGTAATTGTTATATATTTTTGAGAAACTTTTAATTTGACATGGAGTCTTCAAAACGTGTGAGACGATAAAGTGGTGACTTTCTATGTCGCTATTTTATTAATGAACTGTATTTAACCCAGTATATTTTGTTCCAAATATTTCAGAGGCTTCACAAGCCATTAGCAAGTACATAAAACATTACGAAGGACTTTCCTACGACCGAGAGCTCGTAAAACAACATCAACATCGCATCAGACGCGACGCAAATCCAAACAAGCAAGATCTCCATCTGGACTTCAGCGCCTTTCAGAGGTAATTTGCAGACGTCCAGGCATCTGCGTTATTTCACCAATCAAATGAATGTGCACTTGTGAACTGTTATTAAGCCCAGGATTCTTGCAGGGAATTCCACCTGCGTCTCACGCCAGATGTAAATAATGGCTTCACAGAAGATTTCAAAGTCCAGTCAGAAAATGAATCTCAGATGGTGGACCTCTCGCACATATATTCTGGAGTACTTGAAGGTAAAGACATTAGTTTTTTCTCCTGCTAAAAACGAAAGAAAGATGCAAAAAAAATAGTAATAAAATAAATAAATAAATAAAAATCACAAGTTGGTTTTAGCTGGTTGACTAGTCTAGTTTTAGAGGGTTTTGGCCATTACCAGTCTGGTTTCAGCCATTTCCAGCCTGGTCTTAGCTGGCCAGACTGGAAAATGACCAGCTAAAATCAGCTGGCTCGCATAACAAGGCTGGGAGGCCAGCCAAAACCAGCTATGTCCAGCTTAAACCAGGCTGGTTAAGGTGGTTTTAGCTGATCATTTCCCAGCCTGACCAGCTAAGACCAGGCTTCAAATGGACAAAATCCCTCTAAAACCAGGCTGGCCAACATAATCTTTTTTTTTTTTTTTTTAGCAGGGTCGCACTACAAATACAATTAAAAAAATTACAAATCCCTACGTTTGAAAATAAAACCAGTCAATTCTTTTGTTAACTTTTGTGTTTTGGGACATATAGGTTTTATTGGTTTTACCAAACCACAAATAGAAGGCAGAATTGACCAGTAGACCTAAGTGACCATACAGTTTTTATCAAAACAAATATAATTTCCATCATAAAATTAAAGCTATAGTTCACTCAAAAATGTACGTTTCTTCATAATTTATTTTTTGTCATATGGTTTTTGTGAAACCAAAATTCATAGTGTTTTTTTTTTTTTTTTTTTTTTTGCTAGCATGCATTGTTATTTTGGTGAACAATTAACCAATTGTACAAGTTAATCCACTGGAAATAAAATCTTTGTTTTGTTAATCTTCAATCAAAGTCTGGCCATTTGCTTCTGCATTTGTAGTTGCGGTCCTTCAATGATGATGCCAGTTTAATGGCTTCAGCCACAATATTCTTAGCCACGCCCTTCTTTCCATTAATTCGCAATAAGCAAATGATCGCAAAAAGGAAACCCCGCCTCCTGCTCAATATTCTGTTTCAGTTGGAAATACATCAACATACTGGAATAAAATCAGCAACTTCCACTTCACGCAAACTTTGAACACAAAAGACTTGGACTTCCATAGCAGGAAAAACAACTATGGAAATTTTTGGGTGAACTATCCCTTTAAAACCATTACCCATTCTATGATGGTTTCTATAGTTTTAGTCAGTCATTCAATTTGTTATCTAAAATGAAAATGTTTTGTGTTTCTCTCAAAGATGACAGTAAATCGTCATGTCAAGGTTCGGTTCTTGAAGGTCAGTTTGAGGGCTCCATCACAACATCCAATGGGACGTTTTATGTCGAGCCCATTGAACGATACAAAACCACTCATTCTGACCACCATTCCATTATTTATCATGAGGATGATGTGGGTAAGTGATATGAAGTTCATTTCTTTGTTAGAAAAATTGTTAGGAGTAAATCGTCGTTTTTTTGTGTGTTCACTGCAATAACTTTGGATATCTTTTACTATGTATGTGTGCAGATTTGTGTGTGAAGTCTGCGTATGATTTTTATTTTTACAAACAAATCGGTTCTTCAAAACCTTGATCCCATTTTTTTTTTTTTTAATATTGAAATTGCCAATCTATATGAATATCATATTATGCTGTTTCTACGAGAAAAATCTGTGCACTGCAAAAAATGCTGGGTTCCACACAAATACTTCATGTTGTCCCAACACAAATAAATTAGGTTGACATTTGTTTTTACGAAGTTATTTAAGTAGATTGAACATAAAGCAATTAAGTTGTCCCAAAAATAAACTTTAGAATCGTGTTGTTTTAACTAATTTTAAATAAGTAGTTTGAACAAGAAGCACAACCCAACAAGCATTTTTTGCTTCTAAAAGTTGTCTAATAGAACAGAATAAGTGAAGTTTGTTTCTAAACTAATTTTGAGAGGCACCATTATCTCTTAAGAACAATCACTATCTGTTTATTAGCTACTACAGCAGGGAAGTTCTCGAGATCTACCCGAGCTCAAACTGCCCTCTCGCCTTGCAAATGGGAGGGAGCCCCGGGCTCGAGCATCTTATGAGCTCAGGGCTCTCTCCAGCATGCCAAACACGCTTAAAAATCAATCATCAGCTAAGTGTGAACTTTTGAAACTGAAATGAATGACTCCACATATAAAATCTGTCTAATCTGTCTATTTGACATGTTTTGGGCTATTCTTAGACGCCTATTAGATTTTCACTGATGGCCCAAGTTTAGCCTTGTTTTAGCCAAGCTTTCTACGTTTAGATGTCTTTGAAACGTCTACTAAAGGTTCAAGAAACCCTCAAGTACTTTTTTTTTTTTTTGAGATTTTAAGAGATTTGTATGTGTTAAGCATCAGCTAAGACAACGTTAGCCCCTGTCAGCTTTAATTGTGGGGAAAACTGGATAATTTTGAGCTTTATTCAGCTTATTTCATCTTTGGATTTAAAATAATTTTTGGGGCCGGATCAAAATCGGTGACGTATCGCAAATCTGCTAGTGGAGTGATGACGTGTCGGTTTCTCATTATTATTCATAGCAGAGTTTTCTTACCCTATGAGAAGAGCCTGCTTCTTAATTACTGCATGTGCTTTACTAAAGCAAAGCAGACCTGCCAAGCTGTGAGACTCAAGTGTCCCAAGACTTTTTTGTTGGGAGAGAGAGCTGTAGGAGAATTGGAGAATGGCGGACTCTGGCTGCGTCCGAAACCGCCTACTACTCAGTAGGTACTGCATTTGAATTTAAACGTACTACTTGGTCGTTAGAAAAGTACGTTCTATACAGTATGAATGTGAAACGTATGAATGGAATTCGGATGTACTACATCCGCCATTTTGTCATGGTCACGTGACCTACCTGCGTCAGTTGCGTCGGTTACTTCCATTCATGAATTCGCTCGCAGGGCATCATGGGATAGCGCAGCATGCATGGGATGCGCACTCCGGAATCTCGCCGGAAGTAGTAAGTCATCCGGGTACTTCTCGCATACTGATTTTCGAATTCTATGAATTTGGACATACTACTCGGCTCGCATACTGATTTTGGCGTACTATATAGTATGGAAGTATGCGGTTTCGGACGCAGCCTCTGTCTTTTATCTGTTGAGTTCGTTACCATTCAGACACATCGCCTATCCGTGCTGCTGTGTTCGCCCATGTTTAAAATCCTCCAGATTACTGGTAGGGCTAAAAAAATAGACAGGGCAAGAGAGATGCTGCACTGCTATCCACTGTGTCTGCATTCAGACCTGGGGATTAATGAGGAGAGAAGTCCTCATTTATAGTGTTTATATGATTATCTTTATAATGATATCAATTGTGGTTTATCTGTATTTGAATTACGAATGACAAATGTAGCTGGACTCTGGAGATTAAATTACTATTTATTGCTTTGCATTTTAACTTTGTAAACTATAAAATCATGCGTCTTCTCACGGTTTGTGTTTCATTTTGTGAGCCGACTGACAACAGTTGTTCGCTCCCCTCTTTCTCCCCTGCTCTGCTGCCCATGCCCACTCCTCCCTCTGGTCGCTGCGCTCCACGCCAATGATGCATTTTTAAAAAAAAATTCTGAGGTAGACTTGAACCGAAAGAGGGGGGGTTTATGACCTTTTAAACACAAAATAGTTTTCTGGGAATCATTAAAACGTTTCAAAATGCTAACAAAAAATAAATTAAAAAATAGTCAACTTAATACCATTTATACATCTCAACAATGCTTGTAATTTAAAGTGTTTAGCATTTATTTGATTCTTGATAAAACATTGGTTATAATGTAAAGTAATCACCAGAATATCCTAAGAGCCAAAGTACAAGCTACTTCTGGAACTTAATGATCACTCGCCTATAAAGTTAGTTTTAAAAGTGAGACTTGTACTTCAAGTGGCGCTGTTGTTGCTGTATTCTCTTTGTCCAAACATGAATTCAGTGAACTCTGTGGGGTATTTTTTTTTTGACTGCAGTTCAATGCCCTGTTAATATGCGCATGCAGGGGAGCCACACGTGTTGCACGTTACGTTAACCATTCAAAGCAATAAGTCTAATAAATCTCTCAAACGAGTCCATTTACACCGTGATGGATGTTATAGAGAAGCCTGTTAATGACTCTAATGCATTTATTGTTCAGCCAAGCGGGGTTTAAATCCTATTAATCTTCCATCTCTGCCAACTGACATGGAAATGATTGCTTTAAGTAGTAAATGTGGAGAGGATTAAATATATTTGTCTTGTACTGTAAAGAGGTTTTCCCAATGTCATGGATATACAGTGTGGAAAATGTATTTCCCATTGGCTATTTGGCGTCGTACGCAAGTTCATATTTGCTTTAAATGTGCTTTTTTATTTATCATTTTTGTTAGTGGTCTGAGATGTTCGTACCTTGTACTTTTAGATTTCTGGGATTTGCATTTGTGTTTGGTACATTTTTTTTGCTGGGGTGGTGAAAAAAAAACACGTGTTCCTGCTTTTGTATAGCAGGAGGTAAACATTGGCAGAGAGACAAGTGTATGTATAGTCTGTGGATAATAGTGATCATGTGATCCTCTGGCTGAAGTCACACCATATTCATGTGGTTTCAAGGTTACTCTAGAGCGTTTCCCATGAGTCTGCAGGTGATTTGAGTTATTCATGTGCTATTAAAGATCAGTTTGAAAGGTGGATCAATTAAAATGTCAATGCTTTTTTTAGAGACTAAATTGTATGTCAAAACTTAAAAATGTATAGAAATAAAAACAGAATTTGCTAGACATTTTAGTGCATGCATGTTGAAATACACACTGTAAAAAATGCTGGGTTCCACACAAATTTTTCATGTCCCAACCCAAACTGATTAAGTTAACTTAATGGTTTTTACAAATTTAAGTGAATTGAACCGAAGAAAGTAAGAATTAGGTTGTTTAAATTTATTTTAAATAAGTAGTTTGAACAAGCAGCTAAAGTTTTGAGCGCAGCATATTAATGATATTCATTAGTTTACTATAATTATTCTATTTAAAAATGCTGAAAAATTATTGTAAATATTTTAAAAGTAATTTTTAAGGTAATTTATCGTGAAAATCCGCCTTAAAATGACGTTTTTACAGGTTAGGGCTAATAATAATAATTCTGTGATTCAAAAAATGTTTTATACAGTTGTTTGTGTTTTGTGCTAGAAATTTTAATGTAGATCTAAAATTATCCTCTAAAATTTTTATTTTTCTCAACCTCCTATGTTTAAGTAAAATTACTGAAATTACAAAAAGACTACTGAAGCTACTGAAAGAGCCTGAGAAAAATGCAAACTTAGCAAAAAAATTTTATATAACATCAGTAAAATAACAATTCTTCATTCATTCATTTTCTTCTTGGCTTAGTCCCTTTATTAATCTGGGGTCACCATAGCGGAATGAACTGCAAACTTATCCAGCATATGTTTTACGCTGCAGATGCCCTTCCAGCTGCAACCCTTCACTGAGAAATACCCATACACTATCATTCACACACAAAAACTACAGACAATTTAGTATATATGTGTGTATATATATATATGTGTGTGTGTGTGTGTGTATATATATATATATATATATATATATATATATATATATATATATACATATATATATATATATACACCATATGCGTGTGTGTGTGTTTATATATATATATATATATATATATATACACCATATGCGTGTGTGTGTGTTTATATATATATATATATATATATATATATATATATATATATATATATATATATATATATATATAAATAAACGCACACACACATGTATGTGTATTAGTATTTATTTTACCGTATTTCAGTGTACTAATTTGCACTGTAATTTGTAGCAATTTTAAGTGACGGATTTCCTGTTTGAGTCTCTTGATGAGTGAAGCTGATTGTACAGATCAGATCTGTTATTTATATACCGATTCATCTCATTTTTGGACAATGCCGTGGCTTGTCTGCCATCTGGAAGTTAAAACTAACAGGAAGAGGAGCAGATCTTTTGATTAGGTTTTGCTTTAGCTGGCTCAAATAAGGAAACAAACAATTAGGGCATACGACACGATAAACATAGATATGAAAACACAAGTAGGACAGTTTCCAAGATTAAATTTGGAAATCAATTATACGGCAGTTTAAATTAGATTTTTAAACTAAGCAGTTTTGCAGGAAATAAATGTCTTTAGAGTCAGGGTTCCCACGGTTTATGGGATTTTTGGAATATCATAGAATTTTAAAGGTTTAATCGAGACATTGAAAGTCAGGGAAATTTTATTATTTTTTTTTATCCAAGTAATTTTTAGTTGAATTATTACTTCCTATTTAGCAATATATAAATACCTATAACTTTCTTTTTGAAATTTCACACCTATTGTTTGGTTAGGCAATTTTTAGCTCTACAATTTCTT